AGCTCCCTGGAATCCCGGATGAGCCTGCCAGTGTGAATCGCCCCGTCACTTTCTGCGGCGCACATCCACACGCAACAAAAACCTTGTGCTCCAACTTGGTTAGCGATCAACTCAGAGACGTCCCGCTGGGAAAACTTACACTTCCCTCCCGGGGCGATCGATCATCTCAAGCTTGCGAACCATCGTGATCAACCTCCCTCTGCACCGTTATATTACATCTCGTGGAAATAATACGTGGCGGTGCACGATACTTTAGTAGTCCCCTGACCAAAAAATACCATACTTTCCTCCTTCGAGCGTACGTTTGCCTAGCGCACTGGGGCAGTCAAGAATAGTAACAGGAAAACTAGCAGTGCATAATTCCACTATCAGACAGAAGTACCATTTTACAACCGCCATCCACTGTCCACACCTGTGGAGTGTCTTTTGATTTCTCCATCCGTGGATTTTTTTACCTTTGGGACTTCAAAGGGAAATGGTATCCGGCTAATCTAACTTTGGACATACCATTGGCCGACGACACGTGTAACGGGCAACGGACAGCTGACATGCTGATACAATCCAGCTTGCTGCAAGGCCGCAAGGCGGAAGCAAGGATTGCCTGACTCAACCTTGGGCCCCGGAAATGCATATTCAGCTTTCGAATATTAGTTCGTCTTGCCCGGACGCTCGCTTTGTACGATATGTAGGTCGTGTAAATATTAGTGTTTTGATTAACGAATCTGAGTGCGGAGGTAGCAAACCCGTAAATTAGGCTGCCAAAATGGATATCTATCTATTCAAACTGAGTATATTCTCAATGTACCGCCGAGCATCAAGACCCAACCCTTCAACAAGCTTCCCTGGCGCCATATCCATTTTCGAACCCTGGAGTGATAGTCCAGGGGATGACGCCCCGCCGAGATCTCTAAAGAACCGCGCCCCACTGCCACCACCAATATTACTAGCATTGCGAGTGTGGTTTGAAGAAGCAATGTGATCACTAGCTTGGCGGATAATGAAGGCTTCCTGTTGTTTATCTCTGCTTGCGCCTGGCGTATCTGGTTGAGCCTGTGGAGACGCGGAAACACGGACCCAAACGATCCACCACCCGCGGCTGGTTTTGCATGTTCGTTCGAGTTCAAGGGACCGAGACCGGGTCTCGATGTAAGTCGTGAGGAGACGATGATGGATGCCTATTGTTTCGACCCTAGAGAGGGATAAGGCTCCGCTTACACGTGGGCTCTGGAGGTGGGATAAAAGATCCGGGATGTTTGGGATAGAGGAGCGGATGGAGAGGTTGTGTGGATCGTAGACAAGGTCGTATATCGGGTGTTGTTGTTGCTGGGATTTGATATTGGAACCCGGAACCTCAGAAATTCGCGAGTCTGCCGTCGACGGAGAGGTAGAGGAGCTGAGTGGCTTTTGGAGGGGCCCAAGCTGATGATGTATACTGTGGTAGAGAGAGGGATCAGAGAGCGATGGTGTTGTGATGTCGAAGAGGAAGGTGTACATGAACGGTTGGTGCTATTGACATGAGTCTCTGTAGAATGTTATAATTGGGATAGTGAGAACTTACAATGTACACAACGGCGCGGAGTTGTACTGGATCTGATGGATGTGAGTCTCGTGAGTCGGGTGGTTGGGGTGAAACATAGGCCCACCTGTGGTGTCTTGCTGTGAATCTGCCATTTGAACGTATATTGTCCGTTTGGCTATCTTTTCATTCGGACTAGCAGCAGGATCAGAAGGTTCTGTTTCCTCTAGTACAATGTCTGGACTGGCTGTGCTATCCTGTAAACCAATAAGGAATCGACCATGGTCACGACGCCGCGGGCGGTCATTTGAGTTTGATGACTCTTGCGAGCCGGCTTGAATATTGGAGTTGTTTGCCTCATTGGAGGCATTCTCTCCCGTTGATGACTCGGCTTGAGGATGCGGACTAGGTGTACGACTAGATGACCCCGAGAGGCCCCATGACGAGCCGTAACCGAGCGTGAGATACTTTACGAACGTTTCTGTTCCTGTTGTCATCCAATCACTTGCCTGACCATTCTCGTTCTGGGCGTTTTCATTATTTGTTTGAGGCGCTGCCTTTTCCTGGGGGTCCCTTGGAGTTGGTTGAGGCGCCGGCGCCCCTCCAACAAGTGGTCGCGGGATACCCGGGGAAAATGGACGAACTGTGGCGGCTCCCTGCGTAGCATCAGTAGGAGCGAGCTGGCTGCTGGTAGATTTTCCAGACAGCGTTCCCCGTTGTCGTCTCCTCCGTTTTCGACGCCGTGGCGAGGTCGGATCCTCGCTGACTCCATAAGCGTCTGCACCGTATATGTAAATCCATTCCATCCACTGGGATATAGATACAAGGGAGCGTCGTGTGATCGCTCCAATGCCCGAGAATATGACACCATCTGAAGGCCGTGGATAAGCATCAAAGCCAAGCCATTTGTTCTCGGCGTCGCTTTCTGATCCACTTGTCGTTTGAGGGCTATCACTTGGATCATACGGATCACCGAACCGGGACACAACCAAATCAACAAGTCCATCTGTCCTTGAGACGAAGTCTTCGAGCACCTCCCTTTCCCCGCTTCCCCATTCCTCTTCACCAACGCCAATGCCAAGCTCGCCCCCTGCAGAGAGCTTTACACCGTTGTACATCTCCACAACGGGGTTTCCGCCAAGAAGAACTTCCCAGTTCCAAGCAAAGCGCATCCAGAAATTCTCGAGGAATAGGCAAAACGTGGACCTGCCAGCACTTTTGTAAAGTGCATCGAGGCTTGCCGCATGGTGCAGAAGGAATGCCGAATGCGCTCGACGAAGTTGTTGGATTAGGAGTTGTGGAGGAGCCATTTCCCTAGAGGAGTATTGCAAAGAAGTTTCCGAAGCATCTCGTTTTGAAGAAGATCCATTGTTAGGGTCCGTCGGTAGTCGAGTCAGGTCGATAGACTAAGATCTCAGTGTCCGTTCAAATAATGCTTTCTGGGCGTGAAATGTATACTTACGGCTAGAATCCACCAATCCTTCTCTAGTTCATGTAGCACAATTTGCGATTTCTCAGTCTCTACGAAGTCAACAGCTTTCCCGCCCGAGAAATTCCTAGAATATGCCCTTAGCATCTATTCCATCGCAGTTGGTAAGTTGCAATTCCCACCTCGCAAATGTCACCATACCCTGCGCCAGACCAACCTGGCGTAATCTATCATTCCATTCATCATTGGAATCCTTATCACTGCTCCCCGCGGAACTATCTTGCCGTTGCGAGAGACATGATTTTGATGTGTAAAAGACAATCTGCTCTCTGAGCGCTTCGTCCGTAGCTCCGAGTAGTGGATTGTAAATGGCCAGAAACGAGAGTTGTGCCGGAACTACCGAGGATGTGCTGCTCTCTGGCATGGCATTTTAGGGCCGTGAGTTCCAGCTCACAATGTAATGTCGCGAGATCGTGGTCAAGCTCTCCGATCATCCCCCGCGATTTGGCTTGCGGTGGGCAGTGACATCACGTGGCGGGCTAGACTGCCCGCCGCGGAGCTATCGGGGAGCTTCAATGTGCAGCCGATGACCTGAGCGAGCAGCCTCGGCCATGTTTATCTCAAGAGGCTCGGGCTCGCTGTGCCTATATCGGCAAGCCCGCTTTCGTCCATCCTTCACACTCCGATCCGTGTCCTCAAAGACCTACGACCCGCTCCGAATCCTCTTTTGCGGCTCTGATGAGTTCAGCATAGCTTCTCTGAAAGCTCTCCACGCCGAGCATGTGAAGCAACCCGATCGGATCGCATCCATTGACGTTGTCTGTCGACCTGGAAAAAGGGTAGGGAGGGGCTTGAAGCAAATACGCGAAGGTAATTAACGGAAAGTGAAAAGCTATGTACGGGTTGTTTGTCGCTGATACCTCGCTTCTATAGTCCCAATCAAAGCTGCCGCAACGAAGCTATCGCTCCCTATACATGAGATTGACACATTCACGGGTTGGAAGGTATATAAACCCTGGCAGCTACCCGCGTAGTCGTATACAAACTCACGGTCATAGCCCCCCATTCTCCCCGAAGGACCCATAAATCTGATAGTGGCGGTATCATTTGGGCTTTTCGTGCCACCGCGCATCCTCCATGGCGCCAAATACGGTGGTTTAAATGTCCACCCCTCATTACTTCCTGAGTAAGCATGGACTTGATTTTAGGATATCTGGCAAAGACTAATCGAGACAATAACTATAGCTTTCGTGGCCCTGCACCACTCCACCATACTCTCCTAGCAGGCAGATCCATGACTGGTGTCACTCTTCAGACGCTACACCTTCAACATTTTGACCATGGGATTATTCTTGCGCAGTCGCCCTCTCCTGGTTTTGCGGTACCGAACCCTGATTCGTGCACTGTTCCGGAGCTGTTGGATGTTGTCGCTCCAAAAGGTGCAGATATCTTGGTTGAAGGTATCCGAAAGGGCCTGTTTGCGCCCCCTGTTGAGGATGCAGGCTGGTACTCGTCTGAACACAATGAATTGACACACGCTGCGAAGATCAAACCCGAGGACAGACATATTGACTGGGCGAACTGGACTTGGACGGATATCAGTCGGCGGCACCGGGTACTAGGGCCACTGTGGAGCAAGTCTCTCGTTTTTGGCCAACCGACTGGACATATTCCAACTTTCCAACAGCGAAGGGTCATTTTAAGCGAATTTGAAGAGGTGCAACCGTTGAAGGGAAGCGAGGCTTTTGCCCTTGTCCCGGGACTGCCATTTATAGATGGCGAGCACACAGTCAAGTCGGACTCAGGAAAGGGGGTATATGTTTTCACCCGAGATGGAAGGCTGATCAAAATTCATCAAATGAAGGTGGAGGGGCAGCAGAATGCAGATGCGCTTCGGGCTGCCCTCAAGGCTGGAATGATTGGAAGCCGCACGTTCTCTTCGTACGATGCTCCATTTGCTCCGTTTCATAACCCCCTTTGCTAAACGCAAAGCTTACGAGAGGGAACGTGATATTAATGTACAACCAATGTATTCTATGTATAACCAACGTGATACCATTTCTAGTGAAATCTTAATACTATTAGGCTCATTGTTTTCAATCTAATTATAACCTTTTTTTTTTAGCTTAGTAGTTTATCACGAATCCCGAATCTACAAAGTTAGTAACGGCATACATAGAATATCCCAATGGGCACCTACCTATCTGCATTGCCTGTCCTGTCACGGATGAGTTCCTGGCTAATGTAATATACGCCTCGGCTGTATCTTCCACTTCGGGCTGGTAGTGACCAAGGTGAATCAGCAGGGGACTCCTGACAATTATTGGGGGGTTTCATACCAGGGTATTCAGAGGGGTGGCAGATTTATAAAGCTCGATCTTCTCCTTGGGGAACCGCAAACCCTATGCACGCCTTAGTAATGATTCTATATCCTCCCCAAGCCGGGGCCCTTGGACAACATACCCAGTCGGTGAGAAGCAGACCTGGTAGGACTGCGTTGACGCGAACCTTATTACCTTGAGTCTGGGCGAGACATTTCACCAAGTGCAAGCCTGTATCGTCAGTGACATCGATACGCGTATCACACCGAAGACCACATACCTGCTGCTTTTGTGACTGAGTATGGCAGGCTACTTCCGGTTGCCGAAACAGCCTAAGCAGTTTGTCAGCGAATGGCGGTTACTTTTCTTCAGGTACAACACGAACCGCGGCTGATGAAGTGAGCAAGAAGACACCACCATCGGCATTGGCCCTGAAAGTGGGCAGAGCGGCTTTGAAAAGCCACAGGTGGCCCTTCACATTGGCAGACCAGCACTAGAGGATGCCATGTTAGTACGTAGCAGCGTATCAATAGATATACCGCTTGCTGCATACCAGATCCCAGTCCTCCTCACCCATAGCATCCAAGTCGCCGAAGCTGGTGATTTTAGTCCAGCCCTTCAATCTAGTTAGCCCATGTCTTGACAAGGTCCTTATCACGGTTGGCTAACAGCATTCGAAACGAGAACATCCAATCCCCCAAGCTGTTCAATGGTAGTCTGAACCATATTCTCACAATCGGCCTTGAGACTCGCATCCTACGTCGCGCGAGCACCTGTATTAGCCATGCCATCACTCCAACAAATCGCGCACACCAGGGTGTAACATACACCCTTAATCGTTATCGCCTTCACGTTATACTGCTCCCGGATATCTGCGGCGATTTTCTCAGCCGCATCCGCGCTGGAGAAGTAATTGATCGCAACATTGCTGCCTTGAGCGGCAAATTTCTGTGCAACGAGAGCACCTAGTCCTCTAATGAGAGAGAAACAGACGCGGTGTTAGTACTTGTTACGTTGACCTGGATCTGATGCGGGGTTAGAGTACCTCGAGCCTGCGGTGACGAGCACGTTGCGGTTCTGTAATGAGTATGGCATGGCGTAGATAGTATGTTACGATTTCTTGGATGTTGAAAGCCGAGATGTTGACAGGGTTACGAGCTGGAATGGTCCTAAATGAAGTGAAGGTGATGATTGCCTCTGTCAGACGCGGGGTAGGTAGTTGGGATCTAGGGTTGTAGCGCAAAGGGGAGATCTGCCCATAGGCACATGCGTGGGCTTTACTAATAAGTAAGTATTTTGAATAAGGTACTTAGGTTACACGTCGGAAGGCCCGTTTCTTGAGCGGACAGCCCGTTTATTGAATCCAATGGTTGTACTAGTGGGACCCGATGGTGGGAATGAGGGGAAGACCTCGGTTGGTCCGAAGTCGAACTATGGAAAGCAGTTATGGTAACAAGGGGATCGGCCTGCATGCCGATGCAGCAGTACAGTGTTTTCCCGGGGCAAATTCAAAACCTTCGGCACTGGATAATTTACAGTTTATCTTGGAGTTGCCACGAGATCAACCCATGAGACCAGGGACGTATTCTGCCTTCTTCTCACCCCACCACGCCTTCTTACCACCCAGCGCAGGCCATTGGACCAGGAACCGATCGGCAAAAGGTAGGAGAATCTTTCCTGACAGACTTAGTGTTTTTACCCGAGCCCAGGATTCCACAAACACTGTACGGAGTCGAAGTTCGTCCGTCGCCGGATGGTCCGCGCGCGGTTTTGCACCGGTCACAGATGACGGAGAGGGCGATTTAGACCACCTAACGAAGTTCCGACAAAAATGGCCCAGGCGTATGAGCTTTGCAGCAAGTATAACGCAAACCGCCGTCGCGGGCCCATTAGTGAGGATCAGATCGGGATAAGGCGATACGAATTGCTCCGGTAGATTGAGGCATTGCTGGTCTGGATGCCGCCTGCACAGAGCAAGGAGACAAGACCAAAAAGACAAAAGAGTTGTAAAGGGAGCCGTAAAGTAGGACTGATGGACGCGGCGGGCACGGGGAACATGGACGATTACGTAGGATGCTGGTCTTGCGCCGCGGCCGTGAAGGGCTAATTCATACTGGATTATTTTCGTCGCACTGAAATTGTCGCCCGAGCTTACGACGTAGGTTCGATAGGCGAATTTGTCTGGACTAATATCCATATTTCGAAGCAAGGTGAGCATCTCCGCAGTATGGCCACCGCTGCCAAAAACAACGAGGAGATGGAGGGGAGAGTCTTTTGGGCGCCATTTCGGCACTGCGGTGTTACGGGGAATGGCAATAACACCGAGGAACTGTAGAGCTGCTGCATGAGCCTGGGATCCATCAGGAGGGATGGGAAACGAGGGACGAAACGTACCAGGATCGCCAATACAGCGCCCACGACGGAGAAAGCGAGAAGCATGGCCCAAAACAGCTGCAATTGCATCGCAAGATAGCTCGTGGCTGCACCGGCGGTGCAGAGTAGCAAGAGCGCAGCAAGGCCGTAGAAAAGAAGCTGGCTAAACGACATTGACGGGATGGAATAGTTGATCTGGGTTCAGGGATATCTTCCAAGGTTGGCTGGAGAGTAGAGTCTTGAGGGTCGAAGATACGGTTGCAGGATTGCAGGCATCATGGAGAGTGGACTGGTTGGTTTTGTTGTTGTGTTGATTGCTTAGTCGCCGAGTCGCCGAGTTGTGGTCTGTTCACCTGGTCGCAGTTGAGCAGAGATGGGCTGCCTCATGGTAAACCTGGTGTTGTGAGTTGTGTTCACAAGAGTGTGGCTCTGTACACAGTTGCGCATTTATTATTCACGTGGCCCGTGCACTGTTGTTGCGGGCGACTTTTGAATTCTGGAGAATATTAACACTCTCCTTCCTCAACACAACCGTGTCCCCCATCCAATGTCCCTACAAGATGGCTCCTCTATTTTCAAAGCGACTGAGCTGCTTCTATTGCGGCGGTCGCTCTGCACAGCCTAACAAGCGCCCAGTTCGAAAATGGCAATGTAAACACTGCGAGGCTGTCAATTACCTCGACGAAGTACGTCACTTTTTTCCGCGATTTCCCGCTATACAACTAACAAAGCAAATCTCTCCAGAATGGAGAAATTACAGATCCTCCTACTGCGGAAACAAACCCAAATCCGCCTACACCCGGCCCTTCAAACCCTCTTCTTGAGCCCGCTGACCTGGGACTGACCGGCTCAGACCTGTTCTGTGCCCGGTGCGTTCGGAACCAACACCTTTTTACCAGCGCCTTGGCCTCCTATTTTCCACCTTCCGATGACCCAAATTATAGCGCTTATGAACGAGAATACCCGAAATTTCGAAGGAACATGGAGGAGCGCTACCCGCAAGTATGCGACAACTGCGAACCCCGTGTGAAGGCGCGCATCCGCCAGGCTGGGTACGAAGCGAAATCGGATCACTTGCGACGGATGATGGACAGGAGTAAAGCAGGAAAGGCAGCACGGAGAGCGCGACAATGGAGCTGGAAGAGTCTATTGGTGTTTGTGGGTGCCTTATGTTATTGGGCTAGTATTGCTGGCCAACTTGTTTGGGACGTGACGAGTGCTTTGCCCATTGACGAACCGCTGCGGGACCCGGACGAGCTTCGAACTACGTCCTCCATGGCGGTCGTGTCACGAATTCGCGAAACCCTTCATACGCTTCGTTTACCGGCCCATTGGCCTGTCGATCTGGAATACTATGCTGGTCTGTCCCTAGTGGCCGGTATTTTCTCGCTATGGTGGAATCCAAAGCTCCGACTCAAAATCGAGGGACGAGGCGGTCGCTTCGTAGGCCTTGGTGAATACTATAAAGTTCAGCTCATTGTCATGGTAGCACGATGCGCGTTTTGGGCCGTCCTCAGAGACCCTTCGTCGAGTGGCCTCGATGCTAACTTACCGCCGGCTTTGCATTTATTCATGCTCCTCTTTATAACTTTGGTACGTTGGAGATGCTGAGACTTTCTGCGTTCAGCATACTAATATAATTTTTCTAGTCTGCCACAATATCGCGGCGCATGGTTCGCTACGATACTCGTCCATTGGTTAATTGGTCTGAATCCACCCCAACAGCAACCCCATCTCGAAAACCGGAGGCATCTCCTCGTCCAACTACGGGGGCGAAACAACCTTTTTGCACGCCGCATGAAAACTCCCATCAGATAACACCAAGATTTCCTTTCGAAAAGCTTGCCACTCCGCGCACTGGCCAGGAGGAACGCGCAATTCCCACCCCGCCGCCTGAGGTCGACGATATGGATTGGACACCTTCTATACAGCATAATTTCCGACCAGTTTCGACTCCCTACCAAAGAGACCAGACGTCTGCCCTTGCTGGGCCAAGCCCGTTTTATGGATCGCTGCCGCCAGCTCCAGCGCCTCCGTCGTGGAACTTGCGAAGCCAGCCTTCGCAGAGACAGAGGCCCATTGAACAGGTCGTCGAACGCAATCCTTTCCATCGAAGCCCAACACAGCCATCAGTCAATTGGAGTCGTAATACGAACACCCCCGATGATGTATTTGCCCCACCGAAGTTCTTCCCAGTGGCCGACCATGCTTCAACAGGACTGGAGAATCTCTTTGATCGGGCATTCTCCATCAAGTCACCAGATAACGATGAGGATAACTGGCAGTCGCCGCAGCAATCAAATTCGAGACCTCGACCCCCCCGAACGACGAACTTGCCTGGATCTTTTGTCTCCCAGTGTCTTCGGTTAGGGCTACTGCTCGTCTCTCTTGTGGCATGGAATGTTTCACAGTATGAACTCGTTTCCGTCCCTGGCCACTATATCGAAGTTGCTTCATTGGGATGCGCAAGTCTTCTTGCTGGATTCGCTCTTCTCGAGGGCTTAAAGCAGCCCACTATACAGTGGAATGGGATGGAGCTTTTAGTTTATGTCGCAGAAATTGCAGCAGCTGTTCACCTCGGAGGATACCTTCCTGGGGCAGCTTTTGAACGACATTATTTTGACAGATATGGAAAACTCCTTCTGGTCTTCATGATTGTCCAAGAGGCGTTAGCTCTGCTGGCTGTTTATCGCGGCGTCCCCACCCACCCCGACAAGATAGACACCTTACAAGAGCAACCGACTCGACCATCGTCTCCTGGCGACACCATTATCGAAGACTCGCCTAGATCCGGACTAAGCAGACGCTCCGAATACCACGGGTCCTTTGGTTCACCTCCCATGACCGCACCTCCGCCTCTCTCCTTTTCATCTACGGCAGGCGGGTCGAGCTTTTTAACACACCAACCAGAGCCCCAATATCAACAGTATCAGCCCCCATTTCCATCATACGACGGCACATTTCACAATAACAACAGAGACCACAGCTTCAGCCTGAAGAGTCTCAAATATCAAGATGCCAATGCATCTGACCAGGACTCCGACACAGAAACGACCATGACAACTGCCACCGGAACAACAAACAACACAATTAAAAACATCCGCTACGGGCGAGATAGCACTGTTAATGATACGTTTTTCTCCCCAAAGCGTGCTGAACTTGGTCCAGGGCTTGGAAGTCTAAGTCTTGATGATGGTCCCTCTAGGCGCATGACGCGGAGTCAGTCCCAAAGGCTCCAGGGTCAGGGATCCGGCTTCCGCAGGAGAGGACTTCGGTAATTTATTTACCTCCCATGCCTCAAAACTTTTCACTTCATCTCTTTACTCTGTCGCTGTCCTACCTCTCTTCTACATACATCTCTTCTACATTGCCTTGTGTTGTATCCCTCGCCTTTCAGCGCCTCTTTCCTTAGCATGCTATACCCGGAGCCCTGGTCTGATCTTTGTCCTTGTTTCTTTTTTTTCTTTTTTTTCTTTTTTTTCTTTTTTTTCTTTTTGCTTAACTTGATATCTACGCTACATTATTTCCCATACGCATGTTTTGTTACCTGTGTTGACAGACACTCCGGGATATAAGCGACCCATGCTCCATTGCAGTTTTGTATTCCTCTTTATTGTCCATTCACCGGGGTTTGGTTAGACTAGGGGCCGGATTGGACTTATACAACTAGTGTACACTGTTTTCTTGTTTTTCCTTTTTCAATTTCAGTTAGTTTGGTCGGTGGATTCTTTGCAGATACTTACATGCAAATTACAGCATCTATATGTACAGACACTATGGCTGGATCAGGAAAGGCAACCAAGGCGCCCAAGTTATGAATTGACGAAGATCATGAACCAATAGCAATAGTAATAACAAAGAAATGATTTAATATTATGTCTTCTGTCTGTAAAACTAAGCGGTTCCTCGTAAGTTAGGTGGCGGGGTTATGAGATTTCAGCAGGATGCCCTTTGCGGACGTTGACTGCAGCCAGCGAGGGTCGTGAGATGCATTGCTCTTGCCAGATGAGAATAAATGAATCCATCAAGAATCCACGGCTTTCATGGAGATATTTAGCGATAATTCCACCAAGTTCGTTTGATTCCAAGATCTATTTGTTTGTTGGATGGTGCCTCTTCCAGTTCGGTTCCAGAGCCAAGGCTGCTTGGGCGTAGACAAGGGGCGCTAGCCAATGCCATATCTTAGCTGGTAGAAGAAACTCAAGGACGAAGAAAATGATATCTAGGTCTTACAGTAATAGAAAACCGGGCTTTCTTAAAGTGTATACATACACTGTACGATGTTCAAATAACGGGACATGCTCGACCCTAGCCCTAATAGGGTTTAGCTTCAGGTGATAACAGCCCTTTCCCTTACTACCTATAAAAATAACCTTTCCAGCTGCAGTAGTATGACACGAAGCCCAGTAATAGAAACAACCTGCAAACTCGCGGCAACAGAATCAAAGCATTTATACCGTCCTTTCAATATGAACTTCCTCCGGCTTTTTGACGGCGTTGTCCTCGGGGTTCTCCTTCGGCTCCTCTTGCGTGACACCAAAGAGTTCGTCCATCTTCTCGAGTGATAGACCTGTTGTGCTTGAATTAGCTGGTTTCAGGGAAGCGAAGTGGAACTGAAGAAGAAGAGGAGGAGTAACGGACCCTTGGTTTCTGGGATGAAGAACCAGACGAAAACAAACATGGAAAAGCAAAAGCATGCGAAAATAATATATGTCCTAATTGCAATTTGTTAGTTCCACAGTTAGGTGTGGTGAAGGGAGACGGAAGTAATAAGTCAACGCACCCATAGCCGTTTGCACCAACAGTAGCCAGCATATTAGGGACTGCACGTGCAACAACAAAGTTAAATAGCCACTGTGTGGCAGCGGCAAACGAAACGTTCAAACCACGTAGGCGCGTTGTAGGGATCTCAGAGACGTAAATCCAACACACAGGGCCCCATCCGAACTGGAAAGCGGCGGCAAACAAGAAAATGCAGACGAGGGCCACATAGCCTGCGGGAATGACGGGCTCTCCCTCGACTGGAGGTGCAATTCGGACGTATAGACCGATGTAGAGCATTGTGAGTCCCTGGGCTATTGATGTCCAGAGAAGAGAACGGCGGCGACCCAGTGAATCAGCAACAAAGACTAGAAAGCATGCACAACCCACAACCTTGACTATACCATATACACCTGTAGCAAAAAGTCCATTGGCCGAGCCTGTGATACCAAGATTTTCAAATATTTGCGGCGCATAGTAATTAATGGCATTGGTTCCAGTGAGCTGTTGCATTATCATCAACCAGATGCTAATGATGGCTCGTTTGCGGTTACCGGCCACTAGCCACATTTCCTTTAGGAGGTCAACAAATCCAGAGCCACCGATGAGCTGACGTTCGAACTCTAGCTGACGGACGATGTCTTGGAATTCATTTTCGACGTAAGGGTGGTTCGCCGGAAGGTTGCGAACACGGGAGAGAGTTGCACGCGCTTCGTCCCAGCGGTCTTGTTTGGCGAGCCACCGTGGGGATTCATTGCAGAGGAGCATCCCGATGAGAAGAAGTACTGCAGGAAGGGCTTGCATAGCTAATGGAACAAGGTACTGTGCTGTGCCGCTGATGTGGAGAAGGGAGCCGTAATTGATCCAAAAGGCAAGCATAATTCCCATGGTAATAAAGAGTTGATATAGACCTGTGAGGCCACCGCGGATGGCTCGTGGGGCGTTCTCGGAGACATAAAGAGGGTTGACCATGGACGCGAAGCCAACCCCAACTCCACAGAGAAGACTGTAATAGTCGTTAGTTTGGCGGCCACCTATGGAAACCAAGGAACCTACCGTCCGATATACATAGCTTCCAGGTGACCACTCGCCGCAACTTGCATGATCACCCCGAGTATAGCGACGAAGGACGCAGTGATTAAGCCGAGCTTTCTCCCGAACCTATCAGCTACCCAGGATGCCGCCAAAGCACCAAAGAAACATCCTGCTTGTAATGTAGACACGATGTTCGCAGAGAGGTTCGCCTGTGCTGTTTTATTCTCGGGGTCCAGCCCGTATTTGCTGTTCAAAGACATTAGAACTAGGAGCGGGAAAAAACAACATGGAATGCTTACTTTTGAAAGGGTACCATGGTCAAGACACCACCAATAATGCCAGTCTCCATACCGAACAACATGCCTCCAAAACATGCCTGCGTGATGGATAAGTACGGTGGGTAGCTAGAGACCCTGGGTGGCATCGCTCACCGAACAAGCTAACGCGTATACACGCCATCCATAAATCTCCGGGGGGTCGGTTTTCATCGCCTCATTATGGACGAGCTTCTTGAGAAGAAACGACATGTCTGCTGATTGAGAACGTTCCTCGACACGCTATAGACAGATATTGAGCCAGCGGAATGAGTGTCGTTGTGAGGTCGGGGAAAGGACAATCCGTTTGTATCGACTGTCAACCCCCAGTATGCGTGTAGTGGCAGATTTTCAGCAGTGACTGTCTACCTTCGAATACTTAAGGGGCGTGGTTCAAATAAATATTAAACCGTGTTTCAAAACAAGCCGACAGGTGGTCGGCCCGGGTAGTTATAGCATTTGACGAGAACTGCACTGGATAACCGACAGACCAGCTATACCAGTACGGTCGCAATGTCGGTCTTTGATTCACAGAGCATTATGAGAGATTGCCGGCGGATAAACGCGAGAGAAGACGCAAAAACTCGATTCCACGAATCCCATGTACAATGACACGACCACGGCCCATGTTCAGTCAAACTTGGCATTTAGCCATGATTGAACAAGCCAGTGACCTGGCGACGGAAGGGAGGTGGCGCATCAATTCGCCCCGGGGCATGGGTGAGCGCTGACCGTGTGGCAGGGTCTGAGAGGTGTCGAGACAAGGAGGTCATGCCGTGACGAGAGCAAATAGCCAGCGAGGAAAATGGGGTAGACCCCACAAAATCTGGGATGAGGAGTCAAATCATCACGAGGGCCAGTGCGAGGATCCCGGCTGAGATGGAGGTTGCTGGTTTGATAGCAACAGGAGTCTGGAATTGCAGGGCTCGGGTGGAACGATAAGGAAAGGCTAAAGCCAAAAGCAGACACACTTTGCGGGGAAGCTGGGTCAACCGTGAGGAAATCTCCCGGTAAAAGATAATTGGTGTAGATTTCTGGATTTAGCCTGGCTTGAACTTCACTCGGCAAAGATTGGCATGGGAGAAAGACCATCAGTAAAACCGTGGATGAGACCCCAACCTGAGTTGAAAGCAAATCCAAGACACAAGGCCTATCCCTGTCAGGAAATGCCTCCGAAGAATCGTGTCCAAGAGACGTATGGCAAGGGCTGGACCATGCTGGAGCTCTTCAAATGAAGGCGAGGACAAGCCCAAGAATCGCAGGTTTCCACCTCCACCACTAGGAGGGCCATCTCAGAAACACCGGTACTGTGAGTGCATCCGGAGCAAGACTGGCCTGAGTCAAAAACTGTCACTCAGCAAGTATTTCGATAGCCGTAGTCGCCAACTTAGTAGGTGTCTAGTAGCATTCCAAATGTCTTGGAAACAAAAAAAAGGAACGACCTGGATGGAGCAGTGTTGATAGGCCATTCCTAGGCATCAGTCCAGTCAACCCGGGCGATGTGTTGGTGTTGAACACACTCGTGTTCTGATCTCTGCTAGTATAGTTCTGAGTACCTAGAGATGCGAAGATGGCTTATGTTAGTGTATTAATCCGCCACTGTTTGAGTATTTGGGCTTACCTGGACGATCGTACTCGACTAGATCTCCTCCGCGCCCCCATGGAGAGGAATTGTGGCAGCCGACGCATCACGTTCTGTTGGGCATGAATCAAATTCTCCTGCTGGAATGTGGAGCACATCGACAAGGTTGTAGCAGAGGAAGTTGGGGGAGAAAGCGACGACGGAGGCGGAAGATTTACTATTCTAGTCGAGGTTGTTATGGCTACGAGAGAGATTCTTCTCTATTCTAACAGCACAATTCCAATCCCAGCTCACAAACACGCTCAAAGAAATATCAACCGTTCACCAGCTCCTTCAACCACTCTGGAATGGCCGGTTGATTATCCCATTTATCAGTCCAGATGTCTTTCCAGTTTTCGCCATTTCCATGTGCAGGCAAGGCAAATACTGCACTCACGAACCAGGTGTGCGTGCCTGCCTTCAGGTCGGCGCCCAGAGACGGCAGTAGAGTGCGGCCGTGAAGAAGATTGGAGTTTGGATCTGCGAGAACGATTCTTCCTGCACGGTCTGTCGCTGATTGCAACTCCACAATACCTACAGCACCCGC